CAGAAATGGAGGTTTTCAGCCTTTCTCAGACATGCATGCCACGATATACGAAGGGATAATCCCAGCTAAAGTGGCAATGATTTGGGAAAAAGAGTATCCTATTTGGACCACTGTGGGAGAGTTGTGAATATTCTATCCCTTTGAGTGTCGCTGATAAGATGCATGCCTTGTCCCTCATCTGCTGCTCATTTACCAGGTCACCTCAGCAAGACCTGGCTGAGGTTCTTCTTTTTCATGTATAAGATGAGGGGCTCATAGTCAAGCTGCCACAAAGACCAAATGTTTGTGGCTATAAACTGCACAGTGTTACACATACTAACGTCAGTATCATCACTATCACTAGTCAGATCTGCCCACTGCCCTCCTTGTCTGTGTTAATTTCTCAGTTACTGTAGAGTCTTGTGATGGATCTCCCTCTACTGGTTAATAAAAGTCTAACAGGATTTCACATTTTGGTGTCTCAGTAGACAGACCGTTCCGTTTATAATGTTCCATTTTTTGCCACTTCAAATTCATTGGTTAGTTTGGTCATCTCCATTGCCATGTAATATATTTCTGACAATTCATGTGTAAGTCTAATTGGTACAAGTCAAGCCATATTTTAAATGCACAAAACGAAATGGCTATTTCAAGGACACCTATGGCAAATCTCATTTCCACTTGTGACCAAAGGGGCTGCCACTCTTCTCCTTAATTCCTAATTTGGTTCAGTTCTGTCCCAAGAACATTGAGTTGTCCAGTATATGTCTTGTTGGTGAGTGATATATCTAGACCATGCCACAGCACAACAGGTCGGGGAATTGCTGGAATCCTGGTAGTCTTGGTCAATTATGGTTCTACCAGAGCCTGAGGTCTGCGACTGTGCAGGGCTATGCAGGAATCAAACAAGTTCATAAGTTTAAGGATTTCTTAGTTTAAATGTGTCCTCTTCTGTTGGTTTAAGGAAGGGCAGTTTCTTTCATATATGGTCACTTTACTCAGGAACAGAGATTTCACTCAGGAACAGAGTGTTTCACTTGACTTTTTATTTTCTCAGAACCTTTAATTTCCATGGCTCACTTCCTTTTCTCTTTCATTACTAAATCTCTAAGGAGTACCCACCACAGAAATGATACCTTCCCAAGAGTGTTGCCTTTGGTGCTGTGCACTTTTCAGCTTCTTTTTTGTTGAACAGCTTTATCGAGATATACTTCACATATTATAACATTCACCCACTTAAAGTGTGCAATTCAGTGACTTTTAGTGTATTCACAGAGTTTTGCATCCATTACCACAATCTAATTTTAGAATATTTTCATCAAAAGAAACTCCATCTCCATTAGTAGTCCCTCCTTATTCCTCTCCAACCCCTCATCCCACCACTAGGCAGCCACTAATCTGCTTTCTCTCTCTGTAGGTCTGCCTATTCTGATTCTGAAGATTTCATTAACATGGACTCATGCCATATGTGGTCCTTTGTGACTGGCTCTTTCACTTAGCATGATATTTTAAAGGTTCATCCATATCGTAGCATGCATCAGTACTTCATTCCTTTTTAAGGCTGAATAATATTCCACTGTATGGATATACCAAGCTTCTTCCTTCTGCTTTTTTTTAATTGAGATATAATTGATATACAACATTATATTAATTTCAGGTGTACAACATGATTCCATATTTGTTTATATTGTGAAATGCTCACTACAATAAGTCTAGTTAACATTCATTACCATGCATATTTACAGATTTTTTTCTTGTGATGAGACCTTTTAAGATTTACTCTCTTAGCAACTTTCAAACATACAATACAGTATTAGTAACTATAATTGCCATACCGTACATTACATCCCCATGGCTAATTTATTTTACTAGTGAAAATTTGTATCTTTTGACCACATTTACCCATTTTGCCCATGCCTCACCCCTCACCTCTGACAACTACCAATCTGTTCTCTGTATCTATGTGTCTGTTTGTTTTTAGATTCCACATATAAGTGAGGTCAGATAGTACTTGTCTTTCTCTGTCTGACTCATCTCACTTAGCAAAATGCCTGTAAGGTCCATCCAAGCTGTTGCAAATGGTAAAGCCTCTTCCTTTTGATTCCCCAGTTTTCAATGCTCTAACTCACCAGGTGTCTGACATATTCTCAGTATTCCTTCCTCTGAGGAGAGAATATCTCTTTCCTGGGGTGATTTAATCTGTGTTTCACCATAGCTAGTTCTATCTGCTTTATCCTTTTACTGATAATTCCAATATCTGAAGATTTTGCAGGTCTGTTTATAAGGATGATTTTTCTCCTTGCTGGTTCTCAGTTATGGGAGATTGACTCTGTATGGAGGTTGGTACTTTTATTTATTTATTTATTACTATAAACTGCTTTCTCTGTTCTTGAACATGATCTGTGGGAATTCTTCCTTGTTTACCCTCAGAGTCAGCCCTCTGGCTTTATGGGCAGATCTCCTTCCAGACTGCCAAGGCAAATAATCCGTAATCAATCTATAAGTCAAATTTGGGATGTGTTTATTATATGAACCAGGTCTGAGGACTATAGCCCAGGGGCTTCCTTCCTCAAGGAAGGAAGTACACCAAAGAAGTGGGGTGTACAGAGTGGTTATATACCATCTTAGAACAAAGAGCGTACATCACATATGACAGGAATATCTCTTTTCCTACTGTCACAAGGTGCTTAGCTGGTCACAAGGTGAGCACAGCAGGTTGGTAATTAAACTTTACTTTCCAGGAAGAGATGCTTATCCCTAAAGAAATGCCTATATGGAGGGAAGCTACATCCCTATCTTTAAGGGCATCATTCTTGTCTTCGAGATATCAAAAACGTTTAAAACAAATGTACAATGCATGCTCAACAGGCCACATCAGGCCTTTTTGGAAAAACAAGGCCAGGCCGAATTGGTTTTGAACCAAATTGTTTCCTCATATACTCCATTATATCCTATTGCCTTTCACTTATTCATCAAGACCACTTGGGGCATGCCTTGAGTTTGTCTTCTGAGCCAATGCAGTCCACATAGTAGAAGCTCAGGGTCTCCAGTTTTCAGCAGGACTCTCCAAGATGAAAGCCATTTTTAGCACTAGTTTACTTCCCTACATTCCTGGTTTCACTTCATTTTGGGGCTTAGCTTTTTCAACCTTTGCATTAAGTGAAGTGGAAATGCTTTTAAAAAGTGATTTTATTTCAAATAAAGTATTTCTGTTAGGAGGTTCTTTTAGGTATATATAATTCACCATATTGCCAGAGGCAGACAGTCTCAGTAAACTTCATTCTCCTGGTCTTTGAAGGTGTTTTCAATTCCTCTTCTTATTTTTGAACATATCAGTCACACCTGTTTTATGTTTGTATTGAGACAATTGCCATTCTTGACATTTTTATAAGTTTGACATGGCTGTGTCTTCTTGGCTTTCACCTATAAGATCTTGTTTCCTTGTGTATTTTGGGAATTAGATAACCTGATTTCCTTTAGAAAGTTATTTGACACATAGATGCAGAGAACAGATTAATGGTTACCAGAGGAGTAGTGGGGTGGGGGGAGGGCAAAAGGGGTAAATAAGGACATTTGCAAGGTGACAGATGGAAACTAGACTTTTAGTGGTGAACACGACGTAGTCTATACAAAGTTGAAATATAATGATATACACCTGCAATTTATATAATGCTATAAACCAATGTTACTCCAATAAAAAAGAAAGAAAGAAAGTTATTTGGGGGAATTATTTGAGTCTGGGTTTCAGATTCTTTCCTAAGAATCTTAAGAGAGAATTTGCATTTACTTCTCATTGGTACTTGAGGGTACTACCAACCTGGGACTACTTTAAAATAAATTCTCAGTGAAAGATTCCTTGAACTGCATAGTTAGTGTGAATTCAGACCAAAAGCCTCCATTAGGGTGTGTGGTTACAAATTCTCACTTTACTTTTCCCCATACCCAGCATGAAGCCTGAGAGAGTCAAGATTTCCTTTTTGTGAGATCGGACATTTTTCCTTAATTTCCTCTAACGCTGGAATCTCACATGTATGTGTGGATCTCCTGTCAAACTCTCAGGCAGCCCTAGGCTTGGTCTCCCTTTCCCCAAGGCTCGTGTGCCTGTCAGAATATGGGCCTGATGTTACTAGTGTTCAGCAGATTCCTGCAATGTGAATGTCCTCTTCAGAGCTGCCTTCACTCTTAGGATCCTTGATTTTATTTTATATTTGGATGCTGGAGATTTCTTTTCTTTTCTTGTCTGCCCAGAAATGTATTTAAAGATATTTTCTAAAAAAATGTTTTGGCCAACGTCTTTAGTTGTTTTGCAGTAGTGGTTACATCTATGCTATACAGTCTGCCATAATAAGAGAGATGTGGTCTTTCCAAAATGTTTTAGAATCCAAATGATCACTTCTTTCCTTTGTATTTTAGCTCTTCCAGGTCAGGATAGTATCATAGAAATCCTCTTGTTCATTCACTTACAAATTATTGATGTTGAGTTCTAAAAATAAAAACCTAGAAAACAAACCCTAGATCAAACTCCTTATGACAGATTTCCTTGGCAGGGAAGTTAGGTCAAAGTCTAAAGTTATACTTCTCTCCACATCTACACTTCAATCAAGTGAATTTTGCCTAAGCACCCAGAGAGTTTGAAGTCCAAGACAAAGCAGTCATTGTTCTGCCTGCAATGTCGTGTATGAGAAAGATTGTTGGCCTTGTGTTTGGTCGCATTCTCTGTAGCCTATAGTCTGAAGTTCTGAAAAAGTATGTAAGGGTCAAACACTGAGAAAATGAAATATAAAAATTAATATATTAACTGCTCTGCGAGGTCATTGCTGACGTAAGAGAGGAGCGTCAACTGTCAAGACTCAAAGAAGACACAGGATTTACATGGCATTAAGCCAGTCCGGGGTTTAGATGGGTTGACTCACTTGCAATCCTGCCAGAGCTTCAATGAGGTTGAATAGTGTTAAATACATTTCCCTTGCATAGTCTAGAAACTTCCAGTCACCAGAGTCACTAGCCTACCAGACGTTTAATTAACTGTGACAATGGGAAAATATTCTCTTCTTCTTACACCTAGTAAGGGCATCTTTGATTTCCTGGTTCCTGAGACAATAAATCAAAGGATTCAACATGGGGATCACCACTGTATAGAAGACTGATGCCATCTTGTCATAACCCAGAGAACTATCAGTGCTGGAGTGCATATAGACAAAGAGTCCTGATCCAAAATAAAAGGTCACTGCTGTCAGGTGAGAAGCACAGGTGTTGAAGGCCTTAGACCTGCCTTCAAGCGAGCTGATCTTCAGGATGGTGGCAACAATATAACCATAAGATATCATGATGATTATGACAGATGTCAGACCAAAAATCACTGCTATCACAAACTTTATAACATGTAGGAAAAAAGTTTCAGAGCACGATAGGACTAATAATTGAGGCAGGTCACAGAAGAAATGGTTGATAATATTTGGTCCACAGAAATCGAGCTGAAGTAAAGCACACAGTTGGATAGATGAGCCAAAGATACCAGTTATATAGGCTGCAACCACCATCTGCTCACAGAGGGTGGGGGACATGATGTTTGTGTAGAGAAGAGGATTACAAATGGCAGCATATCGATCATAAGCCATGGCTGCTAGGAGACAGCACTCAGTCAGACCTAGGCTAGAGAAGAAGAAGTATTGTATGGCGCACCCCACAAAGGAGATGAATTTAGTCTTCTGGAAGAAGCCTGAGAGCATTTTGGGGGTTGTGGAGGTAACATAGCATAAATCTATAAAGGATAAGTTGCTGAGGAAGAAGTACATGGGTGTATGTAGGGAGGAGTCCATCTTAATCAGGATGATGAGGCTCAGGTTCCAGGCCACTGTCAAGAGATAAGTCCCCAAGAATACTGTAAAGAGAGCAATCTTGAGCTTGGGAAAATCTGAGAATCCCAAAAGGATGAATTTGGCAACTGTTGTGTTGTTCCTTCCTCCAGCCATTGTCTTGAAGTTTCTTCAATCTGCAAAAAGACCCTTAGGTTAATGATGGACTATTTTAATATTATGAAGCTTACTTGTTTTGAATATAGTTTCTTGTTTTTGGATAAAAAATTATCCGTAGTCAAGATAACTTGTTTAACAATATAAAACATTATATAAATGTTTTTAAAAACCATTGGGAATCCCGTTTCCCAACTACTCTTAATAGTTTGTGATATATTCTTGCAAACTTTTTTACACATACAGATGCACACACACAGATGTTGCCAAATTGTTGTCTAAAAATTGGTACTAATTTACACAAGTATCAAGATTTTATGAGAATATACCTTACAATCTCATTATCAACACTGCCCATAATTATTTTGCTTTAATCTTTGACAATCTTACAGGTAAAAAAATTATTTCATTGTTTTTTTATTTGAATTTACTTTACTGATTTGCTCACATATAATTTTGCCCATCTTTCTAGTAGGTTGTTTATCACTGATTTGAAGGAGCTCTTTATATATGAAGGAAGATAACTCTTTCTCCCTCATACATTTTGCTAAATATTTTCCAAGTTTACATTTATTATCAATATTATTTATGTTGTATTTGGCTACACAGATTTATTTTATTTTTAAGTGCTCAATTTTTTGTGATATTTATGGTTCCTGGCCTTGGTATTACACTGGAAAAGATGTCTTTACACAATCCAAGAAGACTCTTTCCTATATTTTCTTTTAGTTCATTTGTATTTTTACATTTACATTTAAAATTTCTGGAACATTTTAGTGCATAGTGTGAGGTATAAATCTGAGATTATTTGGTTTTGTTTTTCCAAACTGATTGCCACTTGTCCCAACAAAATTAATTGAATGATTTCTCCATTTATTAAAGTCAATTCTATAATGAAGATGTTTATGGATTCCCTATTCTGCTCCATTTTTAATTTATCAGTCCATGTGTCATCTGTCCAGTCCTGTGTAATACTTTATAATTGCTCACAATTATATTTTATTAATAAATTATATTTCCACTCTGAGATTATTTTGATAGTTTTTATATTTATGTCTTCAGAAGATCTTTATGGTGAACTCAGGTAAATAAAATAGCATTTTTATTGATTTCATTCTTAGGCTAATTTGGGGAAAAATAACCAATAATTTTCTCTTTGCTAAGTTGGTGTATGAAGTTATAGAAGAGATAACACTAAAATTTTCAAAATATTTTAATATTAAGACTATCAAACTTGACTGCAGCATTTGGGTCTAGTGATATATACTCTATATTCCAAGCTTTGTCCCTGCATTGTTCTAATTTCTCTGTGTCTTCAATTTCCTCATCTGTAGAATGAGATAATTATAGCTATTCTCCTTTTATCATAGGGACTTTTTTTACACTTAAAGGAGCAATAATCATGGTAGAAAAAACACATTGAAAGAAGAGCGATCTAATACTATAAGACACTATTTTAACACCCAAAAAAGAGAAGTATTTAACTACTTGAAAAGGGAAAATTTTACTGATTCAATTCTATCTATTAATGTCCCCAGTGAGGCCACAAGATCCACACTATGTTTCTACAGTAAGATCTGAAGCATATGTTTATATGCTTAGAACACCTTCAATAGGGATAGAAAGATTCTATCAGTTGAATTTACAATGAATTTATATTTCAAGAAATTAAACAAAGCGTTCTTTTGAAACACTAATTGTCATAGTAGATCTATGGTATATTTTGTCATGTATGTCGTGAGGATACATGAACTCTGGAGATCCTGAGGCCATAAGATTATTTTTCAAATTTTAGAAAATGCTTTCAGTGAATCTGACTTGTTTTTGATCCTTATATCCCTTGACATATTTTAAATAAAAAGGTTTTTTTTAATCACAGTAGAAATGGTAAAATATACTTTGTAATATATTTTTTCTAATTTGCTGATAAGAGAAAATGAAATAAAGTGTTTAGATAATGGTGATGATGATTAAAACTCCCAGTAGTAAAGATTATATAACTAGAAAAATAGAAAGAATATTTCAGATAGATTTTTAAAGTTATTTTTACTTCGTTTCCTTTTGTTTTCTGTTTTCACTTCTCATTGTCCGTTCAAGACCAAACATGAAACAATCGAAATCATTGGCTGTGGTTAAAAATAGGAGGCCCAGAATAGTAGAATAGATACTGCTTCCTCACTTTTCTTCAGGCATATGAAATGGGTGGGCTGGCCCAGAAGCACCAGTGCAATCTTGTCACCTGTGATAGCAAAGGGGACAATAGCGAGAGCAGTACACAGACTGAACATTTTAAGGCGCAAACTTACCATTCTTCTAGAATTTTTTATTATGGAAATTTACTGCAGGCACAATGTTTTTAGAATCCCATATAAAAATAAAATTTATGTAAAAATAGATTTAGAAGTTTGAAAATAAAAGCAGGCGAGCAGTTGCTCATGATGGAAACACCGTGTCTAAGGTTTTGGAGAAAAACAGCAGTAATAGATTATTCATATGCTTACAGCAGTATAAGGTATCAAGAGTAGTTTAATATTTGGTTAAGAAACAAAGAATTATTCTCCTATTCTTGCTTTCTATCTTCCTTTCTTAATTTAATGTGATAAAATGTTTTACTTCCTAAGTAAAATTTCATATCCCATGAGCTAAATGGTTTGCATTTATTTCTCTTTAATAATAAAGCCCAAATTAAATCACTATTTGTGAGTCACAGAAAATGTTTCTCTGTTTTTCAGCAAATAATTTGATGTTGTTGAATATTTGCCATCTGCTATCATTTGGGAAGCAGTAGAAAGAAGGTTAAAGAAGTATTTCAAATGGCTCCTGGGACAACTCTTTATTGATTTTCATACATTTTCAGAAAGGAAGGCAAAGAAAAGAGGCAATTTAACATGAAGAGGGAAATATGTAATGTACAAAGGAAGGCATATTTTCTTGCCTGCCCTGGAAAGCTTCCCTGTCATGAATGTGAAACTCCTTCTTCCACGCTCCCACTGCAACTGAATATTTTTCCTGAATGGTAAGAATCTCACTGTTCTTATTTTACTTTTATGAGTTTTCCCATTAGAACCTAGTGATGGCTTTTAGCCAAGAGTTAATATATTTTTATATTTTTAAGACTTAATATATCAGTTATGAATTGCTGTGTAACAAACCACTTCAAACTTACTGGCTTAAAACACCAATAATTTATCATTTCTCATGTTTCTCTTGGTTGACTGGATACTTTGTCTGATGACCTCACATTAGGTTCACTTAGAACCTGGATGTGACTGATTCTTCCGGTGGCTTGGATGGGGCTGGATAGTCTAAGCTGACCTCACTCCTTGTTTTGAGCCTAATCTAGAACGGCTGAAATGGCTAAGATGGCTGAGATTCACTCTCCATATTGCCCTTCATCCTAGATTCTTCTAAGTGTGATCTCAGGGTTCCAAGAGAGCAAGCCTCACTGAGAAGTGCTTATCAGGCCACTGCTTGCATCACATGTGCTGACATCTCATTGGCCAAAGCAAGTCACATAGTGAAGCAAAGAATAAATGTGGAGGGGAAATATACCAGGTCAGAGATATAGGGAGATGTGATTCCTTGGTGTCCATTAATGTAACAACGTACCACACCGAGGTTTAGTTCAATGGCTGAACTGAACAATGTCAGTATGAAATAAATATTTGTGGAATTGTAATTTATTCATCTATGTCTTCTGGAACAGTGTAAAGAAAGTACTAACTCTCTGAAAAGAAAATAATATTCTCCACGCAAAAAGCTAAGATGTGGTGTCAGCCCAGTGGCATGGTGGTTAAGTTCACACACTCTGCTTTGGGGGCCCAGGGTTCATGGGTTCAGATCCTGGGCATAGGCCTACGTATTGCTCATCAAACTATGCTGTGGCAGCATCCCACATACAAAATAGAAGAAGACTGGTATAGATGTTAGCTAGCAGCAATCTTCCTCAAGCAAAAAGAGGAGGATTGATAACAGATGTTAGCTCAGGGCTAATCTTTCTAAACAAAAAACCCCGCAAAACTATGATGTGTCTTCGATCAGAAGGGGAATGAGGCAATGTCTCTAGAGTAGACAGAGCCCAGTTCTTGGCTCCTGAAATGGGAGAATCCAACATATCTTACCGTTTAGAGGATCTGAAAGGAGACAATACACCAAGAAGCAGTGGTTAATTGATAATGTACTAGCAACTATTCATGTTTGGGTAGACATTGTCCAGGAGATTTTTATACCCACTTTTGTGTGAAATAGACCTAAGCCATCATTTGCCATCTAAATCAGTTAACAAAAAGGCAAATGTTACAACCTTAATTTTACATGTCTACATTAGTTTTGTTTCAGATTCAAATACACATAAACAAACAACAATGTAAATAGTTAACAAGTGAATTATGATACATTAATGTTCACACTATAGTAAACTTCATGAGAGTAATTATCTGAAAACTCATAATAGATCACAAGCATCAAAATTATGCCAAATCCTAGATGTTCATCAAGTAGAAACTACAATTTATTTCTCCAATATTTAAAATATTTTAAAACATTATTTTCTTAAAGATTTATAAATACTTCTTTCCAGCAATAAGGAAATCGAGTCATAAAAGTATTCATATTTTTTGATGCAATAACTTTTTTAGAAATACCTATTTAGGAAATAGTCTAAAATATTTTAAGAAGATGTTATTTAAAAAATAATTTTAGGGGGCCAGCCCAGTGGCTTAGTGGTTAGTGGTTAAGTTTGCATGCTCCACTTTGGTAGCCCAGAGTTCATGAGTTTGTATCCCAGGCGCAGACCCACTCACCACTCATCAAGCCATGCTGTGGCAGCTTGGCTTAAAAAAATAGAGAAAGGTTGGCACAGATGTTAACTCAGGGACAATCTTCCTCCAGCAAAAAGAGGAAGATTGGCAATACATTTTAGCTCAGGATCAATCTTTCTCATCAAAAAAAAAAAAAATCCAAGCATGAATACCATAGGGTTGCCATGATGTGTGGCCCTA